TTATTTTAATAGGCGTATTCTTGCAAGTAAAATAAACGCAACTCCTTCCCCTTTGTTAAAAATTGAAAAGGACCGGAAACACTAGAATTAGCAGAGGTTAGCCTACTGTGAAAAAACAACCCGTTGGCTAGATGAATATAGTCCACATCGGCACCAAATATTCAAACCACAACAATCGCCATCTAAACTTACGTGAATTCGTATACTTCCAAATAAAAAAAGGAATTAAAGTCTACAAAAATTATTCGAAACCCTAGACAAATCAATGCATTTTTTATAAACAATTGCGTTGTGTACTTTGCTTTAGGTAAAAGCGAACGTCTTTAGCGCTCTCTGAACACATGTTGAGACGAAGCGCGGTGTCAATCACACGTTACTAACATGCGGAAGTATAGGAACGCTGCTAGTATTGACCGATGTCCATTCCACAATTCGAGGAGTCAAAATGGCATGTTACTTTAATTCAATATAGTATCTTGTAAGACCAAGATTATGAAATCCTCCTCCCTGGTTAGCCACATTTGATGTCTGTAGTGTATGAGGCACACCTTCGAGTGAGTAGAACACAGGCGCTGAAGGTGGACATTTCGGGACCAACTAATGCCATGTGCATTTGCCTAACAACTGTTGCAAACACAAGGTTAATTTCTCATCACAAATATGCAGCTCAGTCAGTCAGTCGTCAATCGAGGAGCAAATAGGCTGCTCCAGTTATACGTCACAGTGATTTAATTGTCGTCGAAGCCTTTTGTTTGTCGTTTGTTCATGCATGAAATGCAACATGTGAAAGGATGTTTGACGCCTATTCTTTGTGATTCCCACAAATTAACTTTTGCCTCCCAGTTGATGCATCAGGGGCCATTAAACAAACTGTCTCAACTCCACTCACCGTAAAGAGTCCTGCAGGGAGCCCATCCCATGCCATCCATATTCGCTATTCCTGTTGCTCCAATTGTGTGTCATTATTGAAACATAATATCTTGCTATCAGGAATGTTTTTTTAATTTGAATGTCGACGTAATGAAGCGTGGAAACTACTTGCTTCAGGACGGTGCGTTATTGTAAATGTACATGCATATGTAACTACTTCTCCTGACACCATGCAACAGATATGATGAGAATAGTACTTTGCTTCACCTGTGGAATGCAGTTGAGTGTGTACCATTTAAGAGGGCGAGTACCAACCAACCGACAAGGTGTGAAAGTAAACGTTTAAATTCGCAATTAAGTATATCATTGCACCGGTACTTTAATGCAAATCAACCCATGTTATGTAATAAAAATTTTGTAACCACTTGTGAAATTTTGGCAAGATTTGACAATTTTGACAATTTTGTCCTCAAGCTCGCTAGTTAAAGCATTAGCAGCGCACGTCACTGCCATTAATAGTGAAGAAAGTAAAATGAAATGCTTTCGAATGAAATCTTCCCCAAAATATATTTCAAGCACATTAAAGTAAGCATTGTTTGATTTTCTACAGGATTCAGTGTGCCACTAGGACCTGCACTGGCTATCGACTGCAATTTAGTGAATGAGTGGATAAGCCATCACTGGCAGTAAAATTCGTAGATGGCATCCAGAACTCTGACAGAATCAAACAAGGGAGAAGGGAACTCATTCAAATGGAACCTATGGATAAGCCCACTTACGATGCCTTGTGTGGATGAGGATAAAAGCTGTCTAAAATTGGACCTACATTGGCTGCGGGTTGTTCGCTCCTCATTCTAACCGCACTGCCCAGGGTCAGTACATACGATGAGGATTTAATGATATATAAGGAGGTAGTCCACACCACATCAACCTCATTTCACATTTAATCTACGAAGGAGGATAATCTTATATTGGTATTACTGACTGTGCATCAACACGATTAAAGCCTAAAAA